AACGGCGGAAGCAAAGTTGTACACCTAATATATATATATATATATAAGGTGTAGTAAAAAGAAATCCATTATTTTTACATGAAATTGAATGGAAAAATAATGGATTTCTTTTTACTACACCTAATATATGAGACTCCAAATAAAATCCTAAGAAATCGGGCAAATAAGAGTAGGTAAGAGAGGTAACGCAATTATTGGAGCGTGATCAAATAATAATATTAATCAATGCAGAAAATTGATTGCATTTCATTAAAAACGAACATTTTAACTCTTTTTAGAATCATCATCAGCGTTAATATAGTTCTTCAAAAATATGATGCATTACCTGTGCATCAATAGTAACCGCTAAAGAATTGAAAGATCCTAAGTGAGGTGTATGAATTTCGTTACAATCTTATACAATTTATTTCTGGAACGAATGTGTACCGTATTATTGGCAAATTATAAATACTGAAAATAATGAAAATATGTGGCTTACCATTTGAAACTGAGAGATGTGATTACAAGAAATAATTATAAGAATAAAGTTCAAGAATTCGTGCAATAATCATTATAAAAGATATATATAAATAGTCAGAGTATAAAATAATACTCTACTTAGTCAAGGCACGGCAGAGTTACGACTGACGACATTATTTGTGTCATAGATACATACATATATTATTTAAGGATAAAATCAAGCGTTAAAATAATAAATTATTTATAATCTGTTTAAATTATTTATAATCTGTTTGGATTATTTGTGAAATAACGCTTTTAATCTTAGATTTATCGTCTCAAAAATAAAGTCAAGAAGGTAATCATTCTCCAGTAAAGTTTATTATAAATTTTAGGTTTTTGTCATGATATCTGGGGTGTAATAATAAAAAACAGTAATTATTTCCCCACTTTGCTTGAAAAGTCGAATGACTCTAAGCAGGGGGAAAGATATGAGATAGACTGACTAAAGAAATACAATTTTCCACGCGAAACGAGGTCTACTTCATCCCCCCTCCCCCTGCTTAGGAATGCACGACTTTTCACGCTCGAAATATATATGTAAGCGTGATGTAAAAATTCTGTGTCAGGCTGTAGGTTAAGTCTATTATTTTGCATTTGTACATGTAACATTTCAGATCTCAATCTTCTTTGTAAATAACGTTCACAGTCTAAAATTTTGACATTCTCCTAATCGAAATCATGATTAAATGAAAGTTTATGATCCGTAATGACCGATGTAATGCCAGTGGAACTGTTAATTTGTCGATGTTTATGGATTCTCGTTTTTAATTTTCTGTCAGTTTACCCTACGTATATCACGTTGCAATCTTTGCATTCTATTTTATATACTATTAGATGTGGGAAAAAGTTCGTGGCGTTTTTCCCATTAGATGGCATTTAAAAAACGCCACGAACTTTTTCCCACACCTAATATATTCTTGTTTGACTCTTTCGGGAGAACATTTTTGTGAACTTTCAAGTTTATTTAAACTGAAAAATGTTAGTTTCATGTTTAAATTGCTAATAATATTCTTAAATTTACTCCGAGATCGATTCAATATACGATAATACAAATCAAGAAGTATGTTCTTGTTCTGTGGTGGTGAGTTAGTCGTATTGTTTTATGCTTTGGATTATTTGTGAAATAACGCTTTTAATCTTAGATTTATCGTCTCAAAAATAAAGTCAAGAAGGTAATCATTCTCCAGTAAAGTTTATTATAAATTTTAAGTTTTTGTCATGATATCTGGGGTGTAATAATAAAAAACAGTAATTATTTCCCCACTTTGCATGAAAAGTCGAAT